TAATCTTGAGTACAACCAATCAAATTCTACTTATTATTAAAAGCTCAAGGCATCTATGCAAAATATAACATTATATGTATATAGAAGAATATTAATAACCAGTATTGCATAAAACTTCAGTACAAACTCATAATAAGACCACCAGATGCAGAAGACCAAAAACCTGAAAAGACAAAATTTTACTTGAAAATTTCTAAGTAAAAAGGTAGCACAAACTTTTAACAGTTTATCAGACTAATAGAACTCCAGAAAACTCCAATAAGGAATAGACAGATATGCAACTAGATAACAAGATATGTAGAAAAGTATATAACTAACCAGGCTATCAGAATTGGCAGAAAAAAAGGATATTAAAGATATACTATACTGGGTCATCTGGATTGAAAATTTGAGAAATCTGTTAGATTTTAAGTTGAATAATAGAAGGATGAAGAAAAAAAATTAAAAAGATAAATAACAAAATTTAGATGAACTTTACAAGTGTAGAAATAGTATAATGTAATAGTTAAACAGGCAATCTCTGTAACTGCAAGTGTTAGATAACTATAGCATATTATATAAAACTAGGTTAGCTTTGTATAGAACACAAAAAGCTCTAATAATAATGCTTCTAAAGATATACAGAATAAAACAAAATATAAGGTTCTAAAGACATAAGTAAAGCATCTAAATTTTTTTAACTAGTGTATATACTAGAAATGATCTAGTAATACAGTAAAGATTGCAATATAGAGAATTTAAATAGATAATGCTTCTAGTTGGATTGCAAATATGACAGCTAGTATAAAACTATTAGTAAACTATTTAAATTAGATATCAAAAGTGTATATATGACTAGTTGTACTTTCTAATATAAGGTGACTCTTTTAAGACTTCAGCTATAAGTTCTTATATCCTAACTACTAAATAAAAACCCTAGTTTCAAAAGAGACTAGTTTAATATATAAAAAAAATTACTTTCTTCTATACCTAGCATAGCAGTAGACATTATAGTACTATTAATTATATTTGGGCCTATCTTTTTTTACTTAAATATCTCAATTTATTTTATTTAGATAATGCAAAAAACTGCACCCAAGTGGTTACAAAATTTTTATATTCTTTTAAATATTCCTTTATGCTTTTATAAGTAAAAACAAACATTTAATTAGAACTAAATACAAAATTTTTAATTACAAAGCAATAAACAAAGAGCAATAGAAAATCTTTGCTGACCAAGTTTCTTTTAATCTTATTATAAACAAAACCTCTTTTTCTATTCAAATCTCTAAATTTTTCAATACCATTTGGTACAAAATTCAAACTAGTATTATTAATGCTATTACTAAATATATTCTTAATAAGGGGTGTGGCGACCTAGTGAAGTAGATAGGTTGTCAACCCCAAGTGACAGGTTTAAAGTTCAAATCCTAGTAACAGTGAAAATTTGCAATTCTTTCTGTATTACAGCTAACTGTCTTCCATGATTAATTGGGATAGGATACCTGTAACCTGTGTCATACCAGTCTGACTGGAAGGTCTAGACATTCATGCACATTGTACAAAGGAACACAAACCGGTACTGGGTGATGTGAACCCAAGATAAGTCCTTAGGCTGTGTAAATTATAGGAACCAGGTAGGAAGACAGAAGCCCACTTGAAAAACCCGAGTAGAGAGGTAACCCGAATTTTTGACAGTGCTATTGTAAAGACTAGACCTATGAAACGGAGCTAGAACTTGTGAAACTGGGCAAAGAGCCAGCCTTTAAGAAGGGGCCGAATAGAACCAACCAGGCCGCCAGAATTTCTGGGTTTCAGAAGAAAAGGTTACATGCTGACAACATGTAAATCAAAGGTGTATGGTTACGATTTGCCTTTTCAGGCTATCTGGTTTGGAAGCTTAGTGGAACTTGAATTGAATACCAAAGTAGTAGAGATATATTGTGTGGTCTGTACCAGGGTTGGGATAAACTCTACAAGAGCATAATGGTTAAATGATACATCCTGACTACCAGTATTGGTCTTAGCTATAGTGATACCAAGTCAGCTGTAAGAATGAGATACAGGAGATTCTGGAAGGTTTAGTACAAGGTTAAAGTTTCCTCATATGAGTGAACTGCTTTAAAGACTTAGTAACTATGGCATATTTGTACTGGTATCGATCGGGGCATCTTGGTAGGTGTAGGTAGATAGGTGGATACAAGAACAGAGTAGTTAAATAGGGAACTTACAAGTAAGTTTCAGGTATGGCAGCTAGTGTAGAACCTTCGAGTGGACTACTTAAATTAGAAAATAACTAAAGTTGTATGAGTGGCTGTTGTACACTCTTTTCATGATTGCTCTCTGTAGTTGTAATGCAACCATTAGCTGAATGTACTATCAATAAAATCCTGAGTTGCAAGTACTCACCTTAATATTTAAAAAAAAAAAAAAAAATTATCTATTTAAACTTTCTAATTATTCATTCTGTCATAATGTAATACTAACTAACCTTTTGTATATATTTAACTAATATACTATCTAGGCAGTATGATATTTATCCTTTTTATACAGAGTTCTAGGCTATTATACATTTCAGAATACAATACTTGCCAGTAAGATGCAAAGAGCTTTCTTGTTAATTATCTACTTAGTCTACAAAACATTAACAAAGACTACTTTTGCAGAGTTTACCTAGATCCTAGCACTGACTTCACAGCATATCTCTAGTACTTTTAATATACTCTTGTTTTTGTTCTAAGACTTCCAATTCAGATAGCTTATAAGAACTATAACCTGTCTTTGGTATATTAAGACTGGCTCAATATACTTTTCTTTTAGTTTGAAATTTAGTGATTTGATTGGTAATACCTTTTATTCAAAGTTCTTGCCTACATGATTTTTTTATATTGGTATCTGTTGTCTAGATCTAGCCTTTACAGTAGTATTATTAAAGATCTGTGCTATCTTTCTATTTAGTATTTTTAAGTAGACTTTGGTTTTCCAGTTTTATAAATTTATACAATCACAAGAACTTATTTTAGGTTTGCACTGTCTGGTACTAGTTTGTATTACTCTGTATAACCTAGATTATACAGATACTCTGTGACTTGCCAGTCATGCTAGTATGACTATAGTTACAAGCATCTTATCTCAACTGATTGACAAAATGCTAACATTATAATACTGTTTATATATTACATATGTGATTAGAGAAGTGTCACTTATTATATAAATATAACTCCTCTAGAATAATGTCAATTAATTGTGTTCTATATTCCAGAGTCAATTTTTTGACAATTACAAGTTTTAAAGTAATTAATAATATAATTATATAAAGCTTATATATTTTATAACCCTTTGTATATTTTTATATACCCCTTGCATTGTTATGCATAAATATGCATAAATATGCATAACAATGCAAGTAGTACATAAAAATATGCAAGAGGGTTATAAAATATATAAGCTTTATATAATTATATTATTAATTACTTTAAAACTTGTAATTGTCAAAAAATTAACTCTGAAATATAGAACACAATTAATTGATATTTCCCTAGAAGGGTTAGATTTATGTAATAAGTGCTAGTTCCCTTATTTAAAATTTTGCTATCAGTGGGTTTTAAACTTACAACCTACTACTTAAAGATTAACAATTTATCTATTTCACATCTTTAATAATAAATATTTATTTTTAAGCAACTAAATTATTACAAAATTAATCATTACAGAAAATTATTATCTTTTTTTTTGCTTTCACTAAAGCTAATAGTTATTGACAGTTACTTTCTTTATTGTGATTTAATTATAGTTATATAATTTGTACAAAATAAGTATGCAACTAGACATATATATAGTTTTTGGTTATTTATTTAAATAGTCTGCCTGCAGATTCTATACTAACTGATATATTTGTAATCTGTTAGAAGATTATCTAATTAAATACTCTGATTCTTATATTACATCTAATAGATAGAATATAAGTTCCTATATATTAAAGTGTTATCTAATCTAACTCTGACCTTTTTGTCTAGATATCTGTCAAGCTGTTTTACATTTTGGAGTACATCACCTGACTGTAAAACTTCAAAAAACTTCTTACTAACTAACTATCTATATTTAGTCTTTTTGTTAACAAAACTTACTTTTACAAAGTTTATCCAGACTCTAGTACTAACTTTATAGCATATTTCTAATATTTATAATATACTCTGTTTTTGTTTTCAGACTCCCAATCCAGATAACTCAAAGAATTATGATTTGTTTCTAATATTCTAGAGTTTTGTCTTTTAAAATCTTTTTTTTCTAGTTCAAGATTTCTGACAATCTGGTTAGTGATATCTCTTATTCAAGGTTTTTGCTTACCCAATTTCTTTTATATTAGTATCTGTTTCTTAGATCTAATCTTTATAATAATACTATTAAAAATCTGTGTTACCTCTCTATTTAGGTCTTCTCAAGTAGGCTTTGACTTCTCAGTTTTACAAATTTATATAGCTACAAGAACTTATCTTAGATTTGTATTGCTCAATGCCAGTTTGCATTTTTTTTGTATAACTCTAACATTATACAGATGCTTCATAATCTGCTAGTTATACTGATATAACTATAGTTACAAATATCTTATCCTAACTAATCAACAGAATACTGTTATTGTAATACCACCTGTGTATTACATAGATGATTATTCAAATTTTGCTATCAGTAGATTTTGAACTCACAACCTACCATTTGGAGATTGACAACTTATTTACTTCACTAAGTTATTATACTTTTAAAAAATCATTATCTTTAACAATACTGTAATGTTATAATCTTATAATAATATAGGCAAAAATTTTGTAATTAATTAAATTGAATTATAAAATTAAAGTAATTATTTGTTAGTATAAAATTTCTTATAAATAGCTTATAAATTATTTATTAATTATTAATTAACTCTTCAATTATATTATTGCAAGATTAAAAATGCATATAAGTAAAAATTGTTAATAAAATTGTAATTATTAAAAATTAAGTAAAACAATAGAATTATATAACTACTTGGAATAATAAAAATATATATATATATATTTTTTTTTAAATATTAATGATGAGGCTATGCCTTTAACTTTATTGAAGTTCAATTGAAGTTTTTACAAAGAAAAGCTTGCTTTTAAATTACATATGAAGAATAAAGACTCAGACATATAATCTGCAATCTAAACCTACAAGAGTGGCCAAGGCTCATCTAGATTTGGGTGTTAGTAATAATATATAAGAGAGGGATAATAAAAATATATTGTTCAGCATCACTATCTAATTTAATTATATTTTTATAAACAGTTTAGTAAGCAATTCATAACTCAAAAAATAATTAGTCAATTATATAATTTATACAATTTAATTGTATTATATTTTTAATATTTAAAAATATTAGTAATTTTTCAACATTATATAAATAGTTGAATTAAACTTTATGAATTTATTTCTAATAATTATAAGCAATAAAATAACCTTTTTTTTTGCTTTAAAAATTGAATATAGTCAGAGCTGTAAAATTACAGTAAATTACCAAAATAGTATATTATTATAAGTTATCATAAAAGTATATTGCAGTAATTTTACATAATATTGTTTAATTATAGTTTTTATATAATTTGTAATTTACATGATCTGTACTTTCAGAGATCAAAATTTTTAGTGGATAGAGTTACAAATTAAATAAATCAAATAATGCAATAATAGTAATTAACTTTTTATAAAGCTAGCATAATAACAACTGTATAAGTTAAATAAAATTTGATTTACTGAAAATTATATAAAATTATAAAGAAGAGTTAGATATTCTGGCACATCTAAGCTACACTTGCCAATTAAAATTTTATAAATTAAAATTTATTTCTAAAATTCATTTAACCAACTAATTTAATACTTAACTATCTGATAAAGAAAAAAAAAGAGTATTATTACTAAAAAAATTATTTATTGCAACTTTTATAAAAATTCTTTTTTAGTCATTAGTTTATTAGGTAGGAAGATTGTAGTGCATTTACAAATAGTAAGATATTCATACTGTATAAGTTACATAGTTGATATTTTTTATATAAATGTGTTAATATAGAACTTATTAACATCTGATATTAATGATCTGTTATATATTATTAATAACATTGATTTTTTTTTTACATAAATGTTCTTCTTTTTTTTGCTCTAATTCAATTTTTTTTGTGCTTTTTTAGCTTCCTAATCAGCTTGTTTCTGGACTGCTGCTTCTTTTTTTTGCTTTACACTTTTTAACTTCTTTTTTGCTAACTTGTTTATTTCTTTTAATTGTTATAAACTTTCTTTATTAGCAAGAAGTTGAGCAAATAGGAAGTTTTTCTTTTTTTTGACTGAACAAACTCTAATTTGACTTATATTGGAATTTTTGAAAAAGAATATTTAAGAAACATTTTTAATGAACAAGTACCAGGATTTTTAAATGTCTTAAGTTTCTTTTGCATTGATTGGTAAAATTATTTTATAGTTTTATTTTCTTTTTTTAAAGAATCAATTTCTGCTAAAAGTTTGTTTACACTAGCAACACTAATCTAAACAGAATTATTTATATGAAATAAAATATTAGAATGATTATTTAGTTGAAAGAATAATATAGTATTTGGTAAAAACAACTTTTGTTCAACTTGTGCAGATAGCTTTTGTTCAACTTGTGTAAATGATAATAAATTATTAATTTGTTCAACTTTTGTATATAAAGATGAATTAATAATTTATTTAGTTGATAGAAAAAGACTAAGATGATCTGAATTTATAGCATTAGAGTTAAAAGGCCAAATCTTTGTAACTTTATAAGTATTGGTAATTATTTTGGGAGTATAAATTTTAATAAATGCTAGTTCAAGCATTTTTGCAAATATATATTTAGTTACTAGCTTGCTAGTTTCACTATGAAGTTTGTTATAACTTTTATCATATTCAGCTTTAAGTTTAACAAAGAGTAGCTCAGATAGCTGAAGAATGTGAATAGTATAGAATGGAAGTACATAAAGTAAAATTCTATTTTTATAACAAAAGTTAATATTTATATAATTTATATGACTTTTATATCTATCTAGTATTAAAAGAATAGGCCAACTAGATAAAATGAAATTGATAAAGTATTTAATATATATTTGAAAAAGACTTTTGCACATATATGCTGAATCAATAAATCCCATAACAGTGCTAGCTGATGTATTATTTAACAAATCTGAATCTCACAAATGTCTTTATAATTAAATAATAGAGGAATATAACCACTAGCAACTGAAATTATTGAAGTGATAGAGATGTGTTTGTGAGAATTGCTATATGCTATCTTATAAACTTAACAAGAACTTTTAGTAACAAGAACTTTTTGAACTTTAAAAGATATAACAAACTTGATTTTATCTATATTCCAAATTCATTTAGTAATAAGAAAATTTTTTTGAATTATTTTTTGAAACTTATCAAAATGGTTTTTTATAATAATTGGATTTGTCTTTTGTGCATATGCTTCTAATAAGACTTAAGACATATGAAATAATAGATCAAGATAATCTTTCAAAAAACATAACTATCAGATCTTGCCAGGTTTACTGTCTTTAAAAAGATAACTTTGATTGTTAGTATTCACAATACTCATTATACAATAGTTTAATCCTGTTTATATAAATCCAAATTACAATTTTTGCATATTTTTACAATATTCATCTAATTATTGTTCTTTATATTTATTTAAAATTGTTTGAAGATCAAAGTAGTTAGACAAGCTGTTATTCTTTACATGTTGTAAACTTGTTTTAGCAACTTTAATTTTTAATGCAATTGCTTGTATACTAGTATTATTATTAAAAGTTTATATATTTTTAATCATAATTTTTGATGTATTGAACCAATTTAGATAAAACAATTACTATTGGATTTAGCTTATTAAAACAGTTCTAATAAGCACAAAATTATATAATTCTGATTACAGAATTACAAGATCAGAATGATTTTAATAAAGTACTAATTTTAATACATGTAACTTGAATATAAATGATTAAATTAGTTTAGTTCCAAATCTTTTAAATAGTATAGATATCATATATATCAGATTTTTTTTTTTTTTTAGTATTAAAGTAACCTCTTTGGTCTTTTGACTTTTATTAATTACTTATCGGTATTGTGATTCAATGAACCACTACAGGAGAGTGTACAATTGGCTACATGTATAACTTTTCTATATTACCTATTTAAGGAGTCCACCCAAAGG